GCCGGCCGGGCCCCGGCCCCCATGTTTCTCGCAGCCGATCTTCTCCCACGTTCTCCCCTCCGCGCTGTCCCAGCAGGACCGCTCCCGAGCTGCGCCCGCTGCCGGGCGCTGTGAGGGCTCTGGTCGCCCGCCTCCCCCGCCCCGCGCCTGCTGGGGTGGCCGCGCGGGGGGGGAAAGCCGAGCCCTTTCTATCGAGCAAAAGCGAAGGGAGAGGGAGCCTTTTGAAAAGCCATCGCATGTAGTACCTGGCCCTTCGGAAATACCTGACAGCGGAGCTGAAAGTGCTGCCTGCAGTTAACGGTAGCTAACGTTTTCCTTTGTAAGGCCCTTTTTTCAGTCGCTTGCAAAGCTAAATTCAACTTCAATTACCCACGCTGAAATTTTCCACGCTAAGTATCTGCCCCTGATTAACCTTTTTTGGGGGGCTGGGAAAAGATACTGAAGTACAGTAAAAAAAAAGCCTGATTAGAAAAAGCAACGCTGCTCATGGAAGGAACGGGATTGGAAAAAAAAGATTTTCACGTGAGAACTTTCATTGTATTTTAAAAAATTAAGGAATTTACAGACCAAAATCTGAGGAATGGCCACTGAAGGTGGCAAAACCGAGTTCTCGTGAGCTGGGCCGTACTGGTTTGCGGAGCTTGGGACTGGCTTCTGAAGGTGCGCCCGTTCCACACCGCCTGCACCAGCCGGTCAGGACGTTGTCTTGTCCTCCTCGCTCAGCGTGTGGCTGACGGCCTCGCTTATTGTACCCTCATCAGATCTTTCTCTGCAGATGGAAGCGGTCATTTCCTCCTGGGCTTTGCCATGAACTCATCTCCGGGTTATCTGAACGCCTCACAACATTAATGAGTGTATCATCGTCATCGCTCGCAAGTGGAAGACGTAGGTAAGGAGTGTCTGTGAAAGCCTGGCTGAAGTAACTCACCTGGTACCACCAGGCAGTTGTAGCCAACGGAGGGATGTGCTTCGTTTTTCAAGGAACTTTTCGGCTGCTTTTCAATCACCTGTCCTCTTTCTGCGAACCGCCTCAACCCGCTCCTCGCAACTTCTGCAATAAATGAAAGAGTTTTAACAACATGAATGCCCTTCATCGCCCAGCCCCGATTCTTTAGAGCGGACGTCCAGGCTGTCTACTGAACTGGGCAGGAGGCCTATATAAAAATAGTATGATTACTAATACAAGTAAGTCATACAATGCATATATCCTTAAGGAGCTCAGTAAAAGCTACTCCAGGGCAAACTTAATCTGACATTTCCTAAGTCCTTCCCTTTGTAACCTGGACATATTTAGACATATTTTGCATGTGTTCTATATGTTTGTGTATGTTACATCCAAAAATCAGGTTTGCCTGATCATAGCAGAGCAGCCAAGGACCGAATGGCACCTTGCAAACCAAGGCTGAGGAACACCAGCAGAGCTTTGGGTAGGACAGCCTGCAACTCGTGCAGTTTTTGCTGTGCGTGTTGCAGGACTATCAGACTTCAGATGTTAGACTGGTCAATGTGGCACTTCAAAAAGCAGGGCGTTCAGACAACAAGGTAACAACAACACAAAGGTGACTTAGACTGTCTATTTGAGAGGAACAAGGGTTGACATCCACAGCTGGGACAAACATTTGTTGCAGTCTAAGTTGATGGCGTGGGCTGCAGTTTTGTAGACCAGGTCTGTGTGTGTAAGTGCAGTAAACCACAGATTCTTTCTCCAACCACCTCTCTCTCGTCTTTCATACTGTGTGTAATCCTCCAAACCACACAGGTTTACAGAATGTTCTTCTAGATGGCCTCAATTTTAAGAAGGAATTGCTATTCTGCAATCAAACTTGCTTTACAAATAATACCTCTTAACCACAGAACTTGTGCCCTTGCAGAGCGCCACGGTACCTGCCTGTGGCTTTACAGCACAGCTCAGAGACCCGCTGCTGGCCCTGCACTCCTGCAAGTGCTACTAGCTCGCGGTTTTTAGCAGGTGAGAGAA